GCGCCCGCGCCGCGCAACGCCGGCGCCGGCGCGCGGCAGACCGCCAGCGCCTCGGCCACGGCGGCGCCCCAGGCGGCGCGGTCGCCGTCGAGCCGCCGCAGCGCGACCCCCGGCGCCGTGGCGGCGATGCGGTCGAGATGGCCGAACAGCAGGTCGTCGGACCGGGCCAGGCAGGTCACCGGACAGGGCAGCCGCGCCGCCCCGGCCAGCGCCGCCGCGCTGTCGAAGCGAAAGGCCGCCGCGTAGGCGGTGCGATAGCCGGAGCCGGCGGACAGGATGTCCAGCACCACCTCCTGGTGGCGCGCCAGAGAGGCGCCGCCCCGGCTCAGCCGGCGCTCCGCCCGGCGCTCGTACCAGGGGAAGTAGGTGAACTGATCGCGCACCCGCGACCAGAGCCAGGCCAGATGGGCCCCGCTCCACGCCGGCTCGAAGGCCGGTAGATAGTGGTCCAGCGCCTCGCGGCGCTCCTGCGGCGTGAAGCAGGGCAGACCGTCGAGGGCCAGGGCCGTGGTGCGCTCCGGGTAGCGCAGGGCGAAGGCCAGCGCCACCACCGCGCCGGTGTGGGTGCCGTAGACGCCGCAGCGCGCGACCCCCAGCGCCGCCAGGGTCGCCGCCAGGGCGTCGGCATAGTCCTCCGCCTCCGGCTGCGCGAGCGGCAGCGGGTCGGACAGGCCGTAGCCCGGCGTGTCGAAGGCCAGGACGGTGAAGCGCGCGGCCAGCATCCGGAGCAGCGGCAACAGGGCCACGCTGGAGCGCGGCGACTCGTGCAGCAGCGCGACCAGCGGCCCCCGGCCGGCCAGGCGGAAATGAACGTCCCTTCCGTCCACCGAGACCGTTCGCCGCTGGATCGGAAAGTCGTTCATGGCGCTCAGCCCCGCCGCTCTGTCGCCGCCGTCCGGCGCCGCCGGCCGCCGCACAGGCGGCCCCCGGGACCGGCCGACGCGGCGCCGGGTACGCCGGCGGCGCGGGGAGGAGGCGCCTCAGGCCGCATCGCTGACCCGCTTGCTCTCCGGCAGGCGGAAGACCCGCAGGGCGTTGTCGCGCAGCAGCTTCTGCCGCGAGTCCGCGCGCAGCCCCAGCTCGCCGATCTCGCGCATCGCCCGTTCCGGATCGATCACCGGCCAGTCGGTGCCGAACAGCACCTTCGCGGCGCCGTAGGTGTTCAGGTAGTGGACGAGCTGCGGCGGCCAGTGGCGCGGCGCGTAGGCATCGACGCCGATGAAGACGTTCTCGTGCTTCCAGGCCATCGAGATCATCTCGTCGGTCCAGGGCACGCCGATGTGGATGCCGATGATCTTCAGTTCGGGAAAGTCGATGGCGACCTGGTCGAGACAGATCGGCCGTCCGACGCTCGGCAGCCGCCGCTCGCGCGAGTAGACCAGATTGTGCCCGACCTGCAGCATCACCGGCACGTCGAGCTCGCAGCACTTCGCGTAGTAGGGGTACCACTTGGCGTCGTCGGGCGCGAGGCCGAACCAGTGCGGATAGAAGTGCGCGCCGACGAAGCCGAGTTCGGTCACCGCCGTCTCCAGGTCGCGCAGCCCCTGCATGCCGCGAAAGGGATCGAGCCCGGCCAGGCCCGAGAACTGCTCCGGGTCGGCGGCGCAGACCTCGGCCACCCGCTCGTAGGAAATCTCGAAGGAGCCCCGGATCTTCAGGTCGCCGGCCCGCACCGCGACCAGCAGCGAGCGGTCGATGCCCGCGCGGGCCATCTTCTCCTTGTAGCGGGGAATGGAGACGCCGTCGCGCACCTCCTCGGGCATGCGCACCTGTCTCTTGAAGGTCTCGTCGATGCCCGTCTGCCCGCCGCGAACCTCCGCCTCGGTAAAGAGATTCGCGACAATGTCGATTGCACCCACGCGCGCCCCCTTCGCCATAATCGCGTGAAGGGTGGCGGCACACCCGCAAAGCGTCAACAGAATTCGATCACATCGCGCAATGATTCTTCATTTTGTTTCACGATACAAAATTCTGGTCTCCGGACTCCTCCCAGCGGCTGCGATGGCGCAGCGCCTCCGGGCGCCGCATCATGGCTGCGTAGATCTCCGCCGCCGCCTCGCGCAGCACCTCGGCCAGCTCGCGGATGCGCGCCTCGTCCATGCGTTCGCTGATCGCCGAGAGCGCCAGAGCCGTGACCGGCCGGCCGCGCCGGTCGCAGATCGACCGGGCCAGCGAGGTGATCCCCTGCCCCTGCCCCGGCTCCTGCCCCGGCGCCTGCCGATGGCGATAGACGGCGTAGCCGAGGCGGCGGCAGTCGGCGAGCGCCGCCTCCACGGCCGCCCGCGCCTCGCCTTCCGTGAAGCGGTGGAAGCGCGGCGCGTTGGCATCGAGAATGTCCTGCACCTCGGCCGCCGACAGGTCCGCCAGGATCGCCACGCCGGTGGCGCCGACGCCCAGCGGCACGCGCGCGCCGATATCGTAGGGCAGTGTCTTGATCGGATAGCGGCCGGTCTTGACGTCGACGCAGACATAGTCGTTGCCGCCGCGCAGGCAGAAGAAGGCCGTGTCGCCGGTCGCCTCGGCCAGACGCTGCAAGGACTGGCGCGCCACCTCCTGCACGTCGTAGCGGTTCGACGCGGCCGAGGCCAAGGCGAAGAAGTCCAGGCCCAGGCGGTAGGTCTTCGCCACCCGGTCCTGTTCCACGAAGCCCTCGTCGCAGAGCGTCAGCAGCAGACGATGGGTCGTGCCGCGATCCAGCTCCGCGGCGGCGGCGACATCGCGCAGCCGCGCGCCTTCCGCCGGCGCGGCGGCCAGCACCTTGAGCAGGCGCGAGGCCCGCGTCACCGCCTGGACGGTGCCGGGCCGCCTGGCCGCCCCCCTCCCCTCGTCAGCCGCCTCCGGCTCGGTTCCGCCGACTCCCGGCACACGCGATGACTCCATCACTCCACCTGCCGCTCTTCAGCCCCCGCGCGACGGCCGCGCCGCCGACGCCGACGAAGTATAGGCGGCGCCCCGATCCGAGTCATGACCGGGCCGCAGGCATGGGCGGCACCGCCCCGCCCGTGAGGCGCGAACAACCGGCGGGGGAGCCGCGCGCACGCCGCTCTTGTATCGCTTTATGCGAAAATGACGAATCGCATCTCGTATAGTGTGATTTTTTCCGATCCCGCGTTGACGCTTTGGAGACATCGCTCTGACCTAGCCGCGTCGTTTCAGGGCTGGAGGGAGCAATGACCCCGGACGCGCGCATCGTTCTCGTCAGCGGCGCCAGCCGCGGGATCGGCCTGTCCGTCGCCGAGACGCTGCTGGCCGAAGGTTACCGCGTCAGCGCCGGCGCGCGCGACACCGCGGCCACGCAGAGCCGCCTGGGCGAGCATCCGCGCCTCCTGGTCTGCCGCTACGACGCGCAAGACCCCGACAGCCAGCGCGCCTGGGTGGAGCGCACCGTCGCGACCTGGGGCGGCATCGACGCGCTGGTCAACAACGCCGGCATCGCCGAGCCCTTCGCCATCGAGGACGAGGACGAGGCGGTGCTCGACCGCCTCTTCGCGGTCAACGTCAAGGCACCGCTGCGCCTCACCCGCCTCTGCCTGCCCCATCTGCGCGCCAGCGGCCGCGGCCGGGTGATCAACGTCTCCTCGCTCTCCGGCAAGCGGGTGAAGAACGACAACGTCGGCTACGCCATGAGCAAGTTCGCACTGATGGCGCTGACTCACGGCACCCGCCGGTTGGGCTGGGACGACGGGCTGCGCGCCACCGCGCTCTGCCCCAGCTTCGTGCGCACCGACCTGACGGCCGAGGTCACCAAGATCGACCGCGAGGCGATGATCGACCCGGAAGACCTGGGCCGCAGCGTCGCCTACCTGCTCGCCCTGCCGAACAGCGCGAGCGTCGCCGAGCTGCTGGTCAACTGCCGCCTGGAGGACATGCTGTGAGCGGCCGCCTGGTCCGCGTGCGCGCGCCCGAGGGGCCGCGTCTGCGCTTCCGGCTCGACGGGCGCGCGGTAGAGGGCGCGGCCGGCGACAGCCTGCTGACCGCCATTCTGCTCAACGGCCGGGTGCTGCGCCGGGCCGAGTTCGGCGGCGGCCATCGCGCCGGCTTCTGCCTGATGGGCGCCTGCCAGGACTGCTACGTGCAGCTCGACGACGGCCGCCGACTGCGCGCCTGCCAGACACCGCTGGAAGCCGGCATGAGCGTGCGCACCGACGCCGACGGCTGGCCCGATGCCGATGGCTGGCCCGATGCCGATGGCTGGCCCGATGCCTGAGACCGCCGGGACACACGCGCCGCGTATCGTCATCGTCGGCGCCGGGCCGGCCGGCGTGCGCGCCGCCGAACGCCTGGTCGCCGCCGGCCTCCGCCCCAGCGTGATCGACGAGGGCCAGGCCGCCGGCGGCCAGATCTACAAGCAGCCCGCCCCCCACCACGCCGCCGACGGCGCGACGCTCTACGGCAGCGAGGCGGGCAAGGCGGCGGCCTTGCACGCCCGCTTCGCCGCGCTGCGCGGTCGGATCGACTACCGCGCGAAGACCCTGGTGTGGGACGCCGTGCCCGGCCGGCTGCACCTGCAGGACCTGGCGGCCGGCGGCACCGGCGCGCTGGACTGGAGCCACCTGATCCTCGCCACCGGCGCCATGGACCGGGTGATGCCGCTGCCCGGCTGGACCCTGCCGGGCGTGTTCACCCTGGGCGGCGCCCAGAGCCTGCTGAAGACCCAGGGCTGCCTGATCGGCCGGCGCACCGGCTTCGTCGGCACCGGCCCGCTGCTCTACTGGGTGGCGGTGCAATATGCCCGGGCCGGCGCGGACATCGCCGCGGTGCTGGACACCACCGGCTTCGGCCGGCAGCTCGCCAAAGGCGTCGGCCTGCTCGGCGCGCCGGATTTCCTGCGCCGCGGCCTCGCCTTCGTGAGCGAGCTGAAGCGCCGCGGCGTGCCGGTCTACCGCGGGATCACGGCGCCCGAGGTTCTCGGCGAGCGGGAGGTCGCGGGCCTGTCCTTCCGCCACGGCGGCCAGCGCCTGGAGCTGGCCTGCGACGCCGTCGCGCTGGGCCACGGCCTGCGCTCCGAGATCGCGCTGGCCGACCTGCTGGACCTGCCCTTCGCCTACCGCCGCGACCAGCAGCAGTGGACGCCCCGGCGCGACGCGGCCGGGCGCACCCCCATGCCCGGCGTCTACCTGGCCGGCGACGGCGCCGGCATCGGCGGCGCCGACGCAGCCGAGCTCGAGGGGCGCCTGGCGGCCGAGGCCCTGCTCGCCGACCTCGGCCGGGCGCCCGGGGCCGGGGACGGGGAC